GGTCGTTTAGTCGGTCAGTAGGTCGTTTAGTCGGTCAGTAGGTCGTTTACTCGGTTTTTTTTGGTCATTCGGTCATTTTAGGCGGTCAGTCATCAGTCAGTCAGTCTGAATGTAGGACCTATGAGGTAATGATTGATAAACTGATAAATGAACGAAAGACTAGAAGAATGAATGGATAAAATAATATCATGATAATGTAATGTATGAATAAGTTGAACATTGAATGATTAGATTCACTAAAGACATTCCCTGAGCTTACAATTTTTTGTTTATTACTTAGTCCTTCATCGACCTTCAATACGTGTTCCTCAGCAAAAATGACACCAAATACGTTGAACATCATAACCAGGAGAATACCAATCGACAACAAGAACAACAAATGAAATACTACAGGAATGCCTTTTATCGGGATAAAAATGAAACTAAAAAAGAGAGTCGGAAGAAAGAGAACAGGAAGAATGAAATATGGAGTAAAGACGTGAGTATGAAAAAAATTTTGGCGAAGGAGAAAGTAGACCAACACAAGTGTCCAGTGACTCCAGATAGCGATGATCACGATTCAATGGTGACGGGATTAGAGTTGGAATCTTCTAAAAAAGCATTGCAGTTACAAGCTTATTAAGTCTTGTTTTCACCCTTGACATACATATTTTAAGTAGCTTTAGTTTCATTCGGAATTGACCCTTCGGAGAAGTATCGTGGATGCGAGGCGTTAACATGAAAGTACAAAAAAAATCACACCTTTTTTCTTGACGGAATTTGTGGCATTTCTTTTGTATTTCCATGTTAACATCACATTCAAGACACTTTTGAGAAGGATGTGACCCTTTTATGGTTCAAATAATATTTCTAATTCAATGGTTCAATGCTTGGATTTCAAAGCAAAGGTGCTTTTGGATTAGAACTCAAGATTTGATCGATTTGAATTTTTGTGTGCGTCTGGTGTTGTTGAGAAGGGAGTGTTACCCTATGCCTGATAAACTTCGGAAATAATTAAACATTGCATGCAAGCAAAGTTTCAATTCTAAAATCGAGATTTGACTTTTTCTACTGACCTTGAGCGACAAAAGAATAATCGTACGCGTGTGTGCATTCACTGACGGTGCCGTTGGAATAGTCTTATGTTCTTAACAAAACTTTGTCCGGCGTTGGAACGTTTTCTTGTAATGTTTGCCATAAACTTTGCTACGGACATCGCTCATCTCGAAAACGTTCCTGGCACAGTTGCACCGTGTGTCAAGTCTCAGGTATTTACAACCTAAAATAGGCTCTGATTTAATTTAAACCAATCATCTTGATAGTTGGTTAATAATAGTCGAAAAGACCAAATCGCTTAAGATTATTATCGATTCTCACATAAGTTTTAAAAAAAATTGTTGCAATATTTTTGTAATTTTCCTTAATACTATTTGATAGTTCTATTTATAATAGATGACAAAGAGTTCTATATCTATTCCAATGTACATATGAATCTTCATTTTTAACTTATCAAGGATAAATATTATTTGTAACTTAATGTAAAGTCTTATTATTTATACCTTGCAAATAAAATGGTTTATTGTAGGTGAATTAAGGTGACTGGCTATTTTTGGAAAAAGTTTTAAAACTTTTTTTCAAACTACATTCCTAAAAAGTGAAATTTAATGCTGATTCCAAATATGAGAAAAATGAAAGTGGGAAAATTAAAATGGGGTGTCCAGAGCTTGTTTCGAGATAATCAGCATTTATTGGATGTCTACACGCGAGTTTTTAAAGCAAAACATTGCGCCACCGGGAGTGCTCAGAAAATAATTACGACTAATAAGATAATAAATCTTTGCAGACTCTATGATTGCATAAATGATGGCTAGTGAATCATTCTACAATAATACGTGGATATTTTTGAAAAAAGGAGAACAAAGAAATTAAATACGTCGATTTGTCATATTTCGTCCTTTTACTGCTCTTAAAAACTCTCATAAAGTCGAACGAAAAACCCTACAAAAAATCTATTTTTTCATGTGTTAGAAAACTAAACTTTTGCTAAAAAAACACGATATATTGTAAAGTTTTTTCGAATAAGCTCATAAAAAGTATAGAGTCCCGTGCAAAATTTTAGGGTTTTGACCTCTTGAAGTGTAAAACTTGTATATGGCTCTTCAATAAAATCGTGAAGATTATTTAGCGGTTTTTGAGCGGGCGCACATCGTGGCTCAAATTGAACGTTCAAAAGGCTACAGAAGTCTTTTTTTTTATTTTCACTGTGTTTTCATGAAGCTTATTTCTTATTTCACTATTTTTATTTCAGACTTGTCTTCTCTGTTATCTTTCCTGTTGCTGTATTTTGCACACTTTCGTTTTTATTTATTTTTTTATAGCTTTTCGTTGCTATATGTTGTTATAAAAGGTTTCTGGAACGAAAGGGGATAGCAAATAGGTCATTCCAAGAACGATAGAAATTAACTGGCATTCATCTACACACGAATATGATCGTGTCGTTTAAGAAATGGCTTCAAGCAACAACACAGACTCGGAGTAAAGAATGAATTTTTAGTTTCTTCCCTCAAACGACAAACATGACTACGTTTTCATTGTTTTCCTGCAATTTACTTTATTTTTGCTAACTTTCCCACCAATAGACAAATATTCTTTCGTTTATCTACCACTTGGATTTTTTCACTATTTTAAAATAAATTTTCACTGGTCAACTGTTGTTTCACGGCTGCCGTAAACGAGATTCTAAAATTCTCTAAATATAGCAACAGTCAAGAGAATAATATATTCTTGATAACAGTCCAATACCGACACTAACCTCCGTGTTGTCTTGATAAGAATAATAATAAGAAACACTAGTTATTATCTTTTGAAAGAATTTCACAAATTGTTTTCTTTTGAAAGAGCTCAGTCGTGTAGCTAGTTAGTACGCAAAGGATCGACAATTATATAATTGAGGGGGAGTGGGGATTGCAGGAATTTATGCTGCACGATATTTTTTTTGTAACAACCCCTGCAAGCAATAAGCCTGAAGCGAGATGACGTTTTACCCCGTCTCTAGACCATAACCCTTTTCACACTGCTTTTGTTCTTTAATTATGACTATTGTTCCTGTATTCTCTTCGGAATCAGAAATTTTGAAAATTATTATGAAAGAATTTTAAAAATTATTATGGTATAGAGTCGGGGGTAAAACGTCATCTCGCTTCAGGCTTATTCTGACGCGCATATATTGTGAGTGTCTATTTTGTATATTGACCTGCATGCGTGTCACCAAGAGAATATGAACTAAGAGAAGGAATCCTACCTATATAGCCTTGTAACCATCATGTGCACAGATTGATGCTATTTTTAGCTTGGAGATATTTTGAGCGAAGAACCTGATTGGTTGATTTCTTGAGGGTAGGTGGCTTCCAGTCTTACAGTAAACAAAGCCTGTGTTTTTGTCGTGGACGTAGCGAAATATGGCGCTTTTCGTGTCCTAAAACGAGGCATGAAAGGGAAGCATGGTTATCGCACGGGCATGGTAACGAATTAAAATTAGCATCAATGATTCTAAAAATAGCATCAAAGTGTGCACATGATGGGACACGGGGATTCCTTCTCTTAGTTCATTTTCTCTTGGTGTCACTGAATGGACCGTCCCATCGAAAATAGACACAAATAGACACTAGGCAGTAGACATTTAGTGTGCATATATAGGCATAATAGACACTGGCCAGCCTAAAACAGCAATTATGTACGTGGATGCAATTTGTGAGCGCGACTTTTAAATCGTTTTCTTTTGAAGAGTGTAACTAGTGAAAGGGATCGACAGTTAGATAATTGAGGGGAGTGGGTTTTGCAGGAATTTATGTTGCTTGATATTTCTTTACTGAAAGGAGAGGTTGCGCGATGTTTTTTTCGTAGGTGAAGTGCTGGCTCTATATTTTTAAAGGGATTCACGCCTCCCCTTTTCTAATAGTCCGCTTCTAAGGGTGAGATATTAAAGAAAACACACAATAAATACATGCATATATTGTGAGTGTCTATTTTGTTCATGTAGACATGCGTGTCAACGGACCCTCCCATTGAAAATAGACACAAATAGACAATAGACAGTCATTAGACATTTAGTGTGGATATATAGGCATGATAGACACATACTTGGAAACATGATTTTGGGATTTTTACTTTTTGATTCATTAAGAAAAGGACCATACTTCCAGACATCGAGTGCTGAACCGTCGTATGGCAGCGCGAAGCATTTACCGGGATACGCCGGAGATTTCGACTCCAACACCGCTATCCGAAGAATTACAGACTGATCAGGAAGCTCGGCCGAAGATGATTAACCCCTTGCTATGACCAGCAAACTCATAAATCTTGATTGTGACGCTGATGGCTTTGAAGGTATTACTCACTCCTTTCCATGTGGGATGCGTTTATGGAAACTAAAAAGAAAGTGCATCATAGTAAATAGACCTCTTATGTATATTGCATATATTCTGCACTATCGCACCTCACTAACATCAGCCAATGTCGAAAAGTGGTAAAAAGTTGAGCGACAAGAAAGCTTTGTCTGTAAAAGAAATTATGAATAAGATGGAAAATTCATGGAAGAATAGCGTAATATGAAAACGAAGAAGAGAGAAACAAGTCAGAACTAATTCTGCCATAGTTTAATGTTGTCCCTAGCGGGTTTTGGTTGGACTACCTGTTTTTCTTATACGTTTATGGTACGTCGTTTATAGCGTGAACGCTCTAGAAAACTGAGCTCCAACAATCGATCTCGGATCTATCCAAATATTAAACTAGACCGATCTAAAATGGACCTAGTGTGAAGGAACCCTTCATACTACTATTTAGCAATAATTTCGGCTTTAAAGCGCTAGCTATTTTTTGTTGGTTTATCGTTTATACTACTCCTCAAAATTGAACTTAGAATTTCTTTAATTATGTTTCTCGTCATGTCTTTTCACACCAGGAAGGAATAAATAAGGTAGTGGGGAGCCAGGCAAAATTCGAGTGTTCTTTCTTCTAGTGAGTTTACTCCTGTCATTCCCGTCAATTTGCACTCCGCTCCATCAAGGAACATGCTGTTTGATAGTGCCAACAAACCAATAATAAAGAGTCCATACTAAGTTCCTTAGAAGAAACTCGTAGATCAGTAACAATCTATCATCTCTGCCAGAATCGAACGTCCGTCATTTCTCGTTGCAAATTCAGACTCAATACTAATTTTATATTTGGCGTTTTAAGTAATGCTTTTCACAAGAAATTATTCGGTTTTTTGAAAAAAATCTACATATTCGCGATTGAACGACACTTGGCTGCATGAGCTGCATGAAGCCGGTTAAGACAATGAAGAGAAAACATGCTTTAGTCGTAGAAGAAGTTGAAGCTAGTTTGAGGAGAAAACTTTAGTATCATTTGAAATAAATACGATGAAGTATTTCGGAAAAACTTAGATCTTGTGTGACATTCACTAAACATTTCCGGAACGATTCTGGCTCGTATGATCGCGAGAAATTATAACAGTGCTATAACGACATATAATTTCGATAACTTACGAGCCCAAAATCCCAACAGTTATTCATATTTTGTCTCAATRTATTTGCTTTTATAAAATACGGAATTTATTTCTCTATTTTTCTCTTAAATTTTGAACGTGGTAATCCTTCATTAACAAAGATGCAACCGATATTCGTCCCTGAAAAAGCGGTCTTTATCACTCATATATGTAACATTTCATTTTTCAACTAACAAAGAATCAAATCAGAAAATATTATTATGTAGCATTATTTAGTTTTTACCAATAGATTCTAGTGAGATATGAATATAAGAAGTGTAAAGTGAAAGCGATAGCTGATAGCAAAAATACTCTAGAGTATTTGTGACAAAACCCCCAGGGAGACTGGTACAGGTCAAGTCACGTGACCTCCAAGTCAATGGCAACGTGTTCTCATATAWATTCCGGCTCCATCTTCAACAAGGTTAGTCGACTCACAGAAAAAGGTAAAATATCCTTGAAACTTGMCTGATTTCAATTCTGTTTCTTGTAATACGTTAGAAGAAGACTTTATCTCGATACCTGTTTTRTTATTTTATCAAAATCTTGTTATTTTGAGTGGTAATCGTCGGCTGATTTTGRGTGAATATTTTATGGCTGGTTTACTGTTTTCGTTTCGTTATGCACCCTGTCAGTCTGGTATTATTGGCCAACTTCTCTTGTTGCAAAACATACCAAGATCGTTCGTTTTTTACCCCAAATTTCACAGGATAACTTATTAATTCAAACTTAACATAACTAGCTTGATAGATTCAGCGTTCTCGAAATCTCTTATCAAAGAATTTAAGGTTCATTTGGTCAAATAGCCGCTCTCATGTGAAATTGAATATTAACTTCTCATCCATGACATAGGAAAACCATTTGACTTGTACAATGTTTCAAGACGAATCCATGCCAATCTACACTACTGTTAGGAACAGTTCTCGTCTTCTAAACAAAAACGACTCTTTTAACTTCTGTTTTGAAAACTTCAACCAATACCTTAAAATAAAGTTCTAACGTCAGGTCAATCTACACGGAAATATTCGCTAAATTACTTGGAAGATGTTGGAAGGCTGTGTGTGAGTTGGTAGGGGAATTTATTCCTTTTAACGCTACTTAAGTCTAACAGATAGTTGACAAATACCTAGAAGAATAAAAATGTGAACCTAAAATCGCTAAAATATATTTCTCCTACAGTGATATCATCAAACTCTCGGCTATTCTTTTTGGAATCTTACTCTGTATAAGGCGGATCCATATATGAAGTCCTTTGCTTTACTCGATACAACTGGCAAAAAACTTTGGCGCTTTTCAAGAAGGGAAATTTTAATTGCTACTGCTTGTAGGGGTATCTCATTCAGGTTTTTACGCATGAAAAGATATCTACGGACTCAGCAGTATTCCTCAAATTAAAAACCAAATAAAAAAAAGCTTATACGATGATTTTGAAGAACAGATGAAAAACTCGGCTTTTCAAATGCGTAGCGGATACATACAGCAGAGTTATCGTCACAACGAAACAAAAGTATTTTCTAGCTATAATGCTAGAATTTATTTTTATATGAGGACTTTAAAGTTTTGGTTTGTCTGACAAACAGGATGGATTCGAATTCAGTGCAGCGGAGTGCGAAAAAATAAAAGGAAAACATGATTTATTTTATACCAGTGAACATGGGAAAAAAATACGTTGTAGTTCATCGGTAAAACAAGGTCATTTTATTTGTCAACTATTCCTGAAAAACATCATTAAATACCAGCTATTATTTTGATTTTAGCTGACAAATTGAAGAGTAAAAAACAAATGTTTCGAAAAGGATAAAAACATGTAAAAGCATATTGGTAGCTTGCGCATCAAAAAAAAGATTATATATTAAAAAATATATAATTTGTTAGATTTTCTTTCATATACTTTACCAAGAAATCTTGTGCAAGCTTCGCTATGTACCCGAAAAGATAAAAAACGTGATTGTATATATCTGAGCATTGACTTAAGAACAAGCTGGACTCAAGACTTCACGTTTGTCACGGGGTTTCCTCATGATACGTGGAATTAGCTTTTTACGAATAAAAATAATCGTTATTGAATACTGTGTCATTCGTTTTGATATTGATAGCAAAGGAGTATAATTTTTCACCCGGTAAATAAGATTTAAAATTAAGTTTAAAAAATATGTGGAACGATTGTTATGATGCTTTATTTCATCAACATTTTTAAAGAAAAACTAACACAATTTAGTTTTTCAGGAGTAATCTAATCCGTGGGAGGAAATTTTTCAAAATTTTTCATCTGCTGTCCTTGAGTCTATTTATGTTCGTTGTCGTTTCAGGTGAAGAACTAATCGCTAGCTATGCGAGATGCTTCGCTCGATGAAGCTAAAGTCTCTGAACCCTCACATCACTTGTGTACTGTGTGGAGGATATCTCGTGGATGCTACTACCATCATTGAGTGTTTACACTCCTGTAAGTCTTCAACTGTGTAGACAAGTCTATATTCTTTTTCATATTCCGATCAATGAACGTCTTAACAAATACAAGACAAATTCTTCTTTTTTTTGCTGATCGGTTCTATCGTTCTACGCGTTGAATGTAATGAGGAAAGCAATATTTAATTCAATTCAATTGCAAGTACTCAAGCARGACATTTTGATGTAAACAATGAAGTTAGATATGTATTGCGTTTGTTCGGGGTTGCGTGGCACAAGGAGCAAAATTATAAATACAGTAACCTTTTAAAATTCCGAGAAAATTCTACCAAGTTCAGCGTGCTAAAAAACGGCTTAAATCGAATCAGTTACTTTACACAAGGGTACTGTTGGAAAGGTCAATGCAAATGTGATTCATTGTGGAATCTCTTCATTTACGTACATCGTTCGATTTATTTCAAAAATTTCAGTCGAGTTTAGATAATTTAAGGAAAGTAAATGATTCCAGAAACAAAATGCATAATCCAGACGCTATTAAACGTTAATGGCACTCATTGACATCCCAGATAAAAATAAATTTGACTTTAATTTAGATGTAAGTGCCAGATATAAAGGAAGATCTTGGACACTAAACTCATTCCTATTATTGTAATGTGTCAAAAAGTGTTTACTTTGGGCTTGAGTCCCTAGAACATCTTGGTCGCTATCTTCTTGCTATAAAATTCGGATTTCGTGTGTTTAAGATTCAATCCACGGGAAGACGAATCGATAATATACGGGTTATCCTTGTCCTATAGAGAGTTTACGAGAAGTCTGTTATATCTACTTGCTTTTCTGCAATTCTTTTGATATTAGGAAGAACTCGGGAAAATGAGTTCCATGGTTTTCTTAGGGGACTGAGTTTTACCGTGCGCGGTTAGAAATTTTTTCATTTCATGTTTTTAACTGCCATAGATTAAACGTAGTCTGAAAGAGGTCACGAATGGAGTTCGTCTCTCTAATATGATGCTTGAATCATTTATTACGGCGTGTTTCCATTACTCTTGATTTATCAATTATCTCCGTCTTCCGACACTAGTAACAATCGCTTTTTAGGATATATTTTGTTTACCATTTAAAAGGTTTATCGACCTTCGAAAATGTAGAGGTGTCGAATGACATATCAGCTTACATCGATATGACAAAGGTGAAAAAACAAGAGTATCGAAGGAAAAACCGCGAAGAGTTTCCTGAGATAAAAGGACGGACTTTGCCGACAATGAATTGACCGATCGGCGATCAAACTAAATGTTATTGGAAATGTATGTATATATGCTTGCTTGCTTGCTTCTTTGTTTGTTTGTCTGCTCTCTTGTTTTTATGTTTGATGTATATGCGTGGTAACGATTACTGAGCAGCATCCTTGGAGTTGAAAAAGTACGGTACCCTTACACTTCTCATGTCCAGGCATCTTTATTTTATTTATAATGTACTTCTTTGTATAGTCTGCAGGAGCTGCATCATACGATGGCTTCAGAAGAGTTATCACTGTCCCGTATGTGAAACAGAAATTCACAAGACAAGACCTTTTCTTAACATTAGGTGGGTGTTTACACCGGTGACCTACCAGTCACAGCGCTGTGGGTTAGGCATTAGAGACCTTTACCACTAAATGCTAGGGATCAGGCCCAGAAACACGGCCGCAAACACGGAGAAACACTCAGCATCAATGAAATTAAATATGGCGGCTCTTCTATCAACAACTTCGTTATGGCGCCTTGCTAAATGCCGAAAGTTTGACGGAAAACACCTGACGTTGAACTGCAAGCTGAGGTTTGCGGTACCTAGCAAGAATGTTATGCTAAAGGTCTCTAATGTCGAAAGTTTGACGGAAAACACCTGACGTCAAACTACAGTTTGAGGTTTGCGGTACCTTATCAAGAAAGTCGTGCTAAAGATCTCTATTGCCTTTCAAATCCGTCAAAGAATAGGAGAAAGAAAGATCAGGACGTGCAGCCTTTTTTGCCATAGCACCAGTGGAATAGTCCCCTTCACAGTTCCCTGCACCATCTTTAAAGGTAGCCGTGCCTTTGCATCGAAGCGAGACGTACAGTGAGCTTGGAATGATAGAGACCTTTTTTATCACCTTGGACAATTATTCACATGTCTCTATCATTGCAAGCTCGCCGTTCGTCTCGCTTCGATGCAAAGGCACGGCTACCTTTAAAGATAGCGCAGGGAACTGTGAAGGGGACTATTGACAATTTGCTGCCGCGGCAAAGTAGGTTTTGGTGGACGTCAATCAAATTGTTTCCATGACATTGTTGATAAACGCAAAAATTTTTTATTTAAGGCACGTGCCTATGGAATGTCATGGAAACGCCTTGATTGACGTTCACGACGATTCCCCGCGTGCTATTACGAAGTGCTGTAAAATAACCTGCTTAATACGGACACCGACCGTGTTAGGACGGACATCGTTTAGTGTCTGGTCCTATTGATGCCCGTATTAGCATTGCTTCCACTGACTGTATTCTCTTGAAATAACCAGCTTAATACGGACACCGACCATGTTAGGACGGACATCGTTTAGTGTCTGGTCCTATTGATGCCCGTATTAACATTGCTTCCACTGACTGTATTCTCTTGAAATAACCAGCTTAATACGTACACCGACCATGTTATGACGGACATCGTTCAGTGTCTGGTCCTGTGGATGTTCGAATTGATATGGGTTCCACTGTACTCTTGAAATAACCAGCTTAATGCGGACACCGACCATGGTAGTATGGGCATCATTCAGCGTCTGGTCCTGTGGATGTCCGTATTACCTGTTTTATACGGACACGCTATTAATAGAGACATTATTTCGGTCACTTGCATGTCCGTATTCAAGAGACTCGATTGTATAATCTCCTTTTCTTTATTAAACATAACAGGCCTGACCGTGTTCTGCAGGACATTGTCTACAAACTCGTACCTGGATTTTATCACGGTAAGTGTCTTCCAAGGCAGATTACTAGCAAATAAAGCTATTTATTTTGGGCTTAATGTTTTCCCGTTTCGATTCAGGCCGAAACATTAATTGCGCATGTGCCAAAAAATGGATTACACCAGAGCCCTCGTTCTTCGCCGCAGGCAAGAATAAACGCAGGGTTTGGGTACGAGATTGACGTTCCATTCCCTAGAGTATCATCTTGTGCGGTTGCGCATAAGAAGACACATGAATATGGATACACTGACAACTCATAAAGAGAATCTTATTCTCAAGGGAATGACACGGGATCTGAAACGGGAAAACATGCATTACGCAAAAGCTAAAGAGGTCTATTTGACCCGTTCTAACTTATGCAATTTTTCTTCTCAGACGAATTGCAACGTCGTAAAGATTTCGAAGAAAAACTTAATGAAGCCTCCAAAGGTAGTTTTCTTGGTGCATCATTATACATCTACCCCTGGAATAAATACCAAAAAAGGTTCCAATGTTGTCGATACCCTGAAACAACCTCTGAACTGATCTAAGTCAAGGCACGGCTTACTCACAGATTGAACTCTGAAACAACCTCTGAGCTGATCTAAGTCAGGGCATGGCTAACTCGGATTGAACCCTGAAACAACCTCCGGGCTGATCTAAGTCAGGGAATGGCTAACTCACAGATTGAATTGGAATCTAGCGTGTTGGTTTTACGGCGAGAGTCAAACCGGAAACCAAGACAAAAACTCTTGAATCAAGGGAGATACCTAACAAACTCTACTCATATGAAAACACTGTCCAAAAATCAAACCTGAGTCCCCACAGGTGAGAGGCGAGATATATTTCATATACATTCATTATACTAACTTTTTCTTTCCGTTCTCGATAGCGGGACTCAAGGATGAAGCTGACGAAATCGAAATCGACGAGAATGAGCGTCAAGACAACGAGAAGAAAGACCTGGATTTGATAGAAGATCCTGTTTGTGTTACACTAGAATATTATGGGTAGGAACGGCCATGTTTATTAGTTTGTTGATTTAGTTTGTTTTCGATGTTCGAAAGAGACTGGTAACGAAACCGTACCGCATGGGATTGTGGATCTGAATATTTGGCCATGAGATGGAACAGCGTCTTCATTTTGCGTGCCTAAATGAGACCCATAATACGATGCGAGTTCGCTCTTTAATCACGATTTCGCGCAGCCAAGGTACAAGCTTGATAGCACTCAATTGATTCAACTCAGCAATATAAAAAGCAAACTCCTTTCTGTGTAACAATATAAACACTCTGGTAGCTGTAGAGCAAGTGTCTTAGAGGTAAGCTTAGGAACACAAAATGAAGCCGCAGTGCTTCTCTTGCTTTTTGAGTGTTGCATTACAGCTGCCAGAGCGTTGACATTGCGGCGTCATACGTACACAGAGACGAAGCGACCGTTTCAATAAAATATGTTAAAACCTCGTGATGCTGATATGTCGACCACGTGATACCAATGTTGTACACGTCAACAAGATTTTTTACACCACGTGATAAAAACTTGACGGCACTTTGGTCACGTGGTGTAAAAACTTGTCCATGTGGAACAACAATGGCATTATGTGGACGATTTGAAATGCACTTGCGGTTAACTTAACAGACGCTTCGAAGGCGATAAAAAAAAACTGCCTCGGTTTACTGGGAAGAGTAGTAGGTCTCTCCCAGACTACTAGATTTGTGATGCCAGATTTAGTTTACCAACTTATTCTTTTATATTCAAAGGCGCAAGAGATTCTGGAAGGAGAAAACGGTGGGTGAATCTAGATCTGTTAATTATTCATTATGCTGTTCGCGCCCTCACTCTCCCGTTCTTTCATATTCTGTCTTTCATATTTTCACTCGTTTATTCCCTTTTCCAGATATTCCCAACACGCTATCTGCGCTGTTCATCAAAGCTGCCCGTCGATTTACTCAAGAAATTCGTTACCACGAAATTCGGCATCCCACAAGACACACATTCTGTAAGTTTATTGATCGTCTTTCGGTCCTTGTGAATCTGCAATCAAGGAACACAGCGGTATTTTATGGACTACAAAAATGTCTATTTTGTTTTCTCGCGAGCATTTCTGCTAATTTATAATAGTAGCTCATAATTATTTACTGAACTTGGCATATCTTGTTCAAGCCTCGGCCGGACCAACACTCAGGGTCTTAAAATAACTGAGTAGAAGGTGCTGCCTTTGTAATTACATCTACAAATGGTTAGACCTTCACGTGGCTCGGATGACCACCTTAATGGCGGTCCCGTCCCTAATTAACTAGAGACGTTAACAGAGGACCACAAGTTTATCAGTTGAATTACTGTCAAGTGTTATCCTCTATAAACAAAGTTAATTTATTTATTTTTATATCTACCTATTAATTAATTAATTAATCCATTTTTTTTTTGAAGGTTGAGATCGTACGCTGTGATGAGATCCTGAGTGATTACCTGACGATGAAAGAACTCTGGAGAATATATGGATTACATACCAAGGTAAAACACACATCTTTAATAATAATAATGATGATGATGATGATGATGATGATAATAATAATATATTCTCAGGGTTTCTAGGTCAGCACACATCTTTACTAATCGGGGAGACAACAAATTGTCTCTGCCGGAAATAGCAGCAGAGTCCTCGTGTTTTCAGTAACTAAGGGAGACTTTATTATGTCAGTTTCTGGAGTCAAACTATATCTCGCATTGTCTTATCTAATCAAGTAATATGAAACGCGTGCGTATGTCTGTTGTATAGTAGTAGAGCACGAGACAAGCAAGGTTGGCGTAGCCGTTTGTTTCCCTCGCTTTCCTTACTCTTCATGGCTCCCACATTGCGTATGTCACATTATAGAGACACGAGAAAGCGACTGTTTTATATTCAGTTTGTTATGAAATAGTTTTTGGGGGTATTACGCACGCATGTTTTTGTCCTTTGATATAAACACGTAGGATAACCAGCTCATCAGCGCCGTGTTATATCATTCTCAATAATATTAACTACCGCTTGTTTGACTGACTGTGTTCCCTTGCATCGTGTTGACAGACCTTCATCGATCTACAGTACATCATTATCGATAAAAAGATTGACACTCAAATAGAAGAACTGCCGAAACGAATCCCTGTGATAAAGATCAAAAAAAGACGAAGGAGAAAACAGAAATCTATCTCAAGCAACGATGGCACGAGTATTGCACCAGTAAAACGAAAACGTCAAAGACGAATAGGAAGAATATGTAAGAAGATTGGTTTGTCAGAAACCACGGATACTTCGCTTACCACTTTGAAATCAATAGACGAACAAAATATGGGCAATCAAATGGGTGTTGCGCTTTTGTCTAACGAAGAAAATAATACCGTTCAACCTGCAAGCAATATCTCTCAGCCTGATCCAGCAAAACAGAATGACAATATTAAGATGGACACTTTTGTGTGTCCTGTCACCCCAGAAAGTGACACTGATCACACCGTGCCAACTGGTACCGGTTTAGATCTATCTACAAGCTAGTAGATAGCCTTGTATTAATGTACATTATCAAAATTTTTATACTCTATATATATYCTTATGAATATAACACCGTACGCTGCACTTCCTATGAAGTAGCATATACACTGAATCGAAATATGGTGGCCAATTTGAATAACTACTGTTCTGCGTTAACTAGCGACAGACTAGCCTCTCATACATGTGATAAACCTTTAATGTTTAATTCCTCGTGAATACGAGGTCAGTTGCGAGTCAATACAGAAGAGAGGGCACAGGGAGCCCGGCTTTGGGATTTGTACATGAATAAATGAATCAATAAAGTGCTTTGGGTTTCCTGTGTTGAGATTTGAAACAAGACGCTGATACGTTGAATTTCCGGTAATCGTACTACCAGTAACTTGATAGCAAATTAACGTAACACATCAGTGTAACGCACGCCCTAGTATATGGTAAGAAAGAGAGAAGGGCTGAAACTAATTTGAGTACCTATTTTGAAACCGCCGTTAAAATAATTCGCCAGGGTTTATTACCAGCAACTACAGCACCAAACGATCACATGACAAATAAACTTGACGACAGCATGTCCTATTTATAGGGAATATTAATCTGTGACACACAAAACAATGATATTTGTAAGCCATACTTTAAATGTATGTGGACCAGTGGTTGATGGGACCAGTTAGCTCTACTACCGTGACCTCTCTGGTAAATATCCGCTTTCAAACAATAGACTTTGACAGATTCATGACAGTTTCATTGAAATGCAGCATTCTATTTTTATTGTCCTTTATATTATACATAGGTTCGTTTTCCGCCTCGCTCTAAACGAACTTTCTGGCGTACCACAGAGGGGAAATGTCCTTTTTCTTTATCAGGAACTCCATTTTCTTTCCCCAGAACTTTGCAGAACATTTCATTTAACCTTGATAGTGGAACCTGGGATTCCGCTCCAGATACAGAAAAGTTTTTCAAAAGCCTGAAGAAAAAAATATGAGATTTTAAATCCTGACGACGAAATTAACGGTCAAATATTTTGAAAAATATACCTTACTCACCATAACATAAAGTATTGTGCTCCTTGAATATTTGATTTGTTTTCATTTGATTCCAGATTCTGATTGCCAGCACTCGTCATGTTGACATTCAGACTGCTTTCCTCTAAAGCTCATTAGCACTGGTCCCATCAACCGCTGGTGCACATGTAACGATAAACTTGCCTTGTTTCAGCCCTTCTCTCTTTCTTACCATTTACTAGGGCGTGCGTTACACTAATACGTTAAATTTGAATTATAAGCTGCTCTCGAATTACTTACATTAATCTGCTATCAAGTTACCAAACCTCAATACAGGAAACCCAAAGTACTTTATTGAGCTATTTATCATTGGCGTCTTGTTTCAAATCTCAACACAGGAAACCCAAAGCACTTTATTGATTTATTTATTCATGTACAGATTCCAAAGCCGGGCTCCCTGTGGAGAGGGCAGCCATAAACAATAGAAACTTTCTGCACAGAATTTGTATAAAATAGAGTTCAATTCCCGGAGGATAGAAAGTGTATTGTTTTGGTTACCCCATAATGGCCACTGTGACGTCACGTGAAAACGTTCTATTTATCTAAATTGGTCGCCATATTTCGATTTGGTGTATACAGCTGTTCAAGAAAAAAGTGGCCTCAGATTTTGTTGCATGTTGTAAACCAAGCCCGAAGTGCACTATGGGCGATGTAAATGCAATCAGCGAAAGGTCACAACGATAAGGAATTTTACCAAACTTTTGGAGTGGAGTGATTTTCAGTGAAACAAAAAGTTAAACTGAACTAGACGTTTTCAGAGCGTTAACTCGGGCTTCCAAGGTCTTGTTTCTGGGGTTGTTTTCTGTGAGCCTTCGTTATCTTGAGCTCAGCGCAAAACGCATGCGTCCTAGACACAGGAAGTCCAAGTACTTACTTTTACTACATGTCAATATTTAAAAGTCAAATAAACACAGCAGATAATAAAATTGAATGAATTCTTGTCAAGAACATGGACCTTGGTGTTGAGACTGATTCAATGTTGCTTGTAGTCGATCGACGAAACCATTCTCGTCTCGAAATGACCTATTTTATCGCCTATTTTATCACCTAAAAATAGGTGTAAATGAAGCACGTGCAAGAGTGTTTTTATTCGATTTTCCAAACACCAAGAAGTGAGTTGAAACAACGAGGAGGAGCCGTGTTTTTTTAACCAACATCAAGGCTTTTGGTAGAGGAAGAAGCACTCTTTCAAGTGCTTGATATGGCTTCTCAAACTATCAAAAATTCTTGGAGAAATTCAAAGCATAAGTTGGCCAAATTTAATGCTAATTAAGAACACACATTCAAACCTCCCTCACGCTAAAAATGTTTTTTGTTTTATCCTCATGAATTATTAACGAGTCTGAGAATGGCACGTGCCTATGGAGTGTCATRGAAACGCCTTGATTGTCACCCACCAAATCGTGCTTGGTCGCGATGACCTGGGGTGCTACCATTCAAACCAGTCCATGCGTTTGGAAATTCTTTTATTTATTGTAAAATAAGAGCGGGGAACTTTTCTTCCAAAAAATGGTGCACGCGTCACGGAAGAACCGAAAAGAGCGGGAAAAGTGGATTACCTCTATCGAAAGACTGGGATTTCCGGAATTTTTCGATTGGAATGTCACATACCATTTGTTTTGCAACAACAATTTCCAGTTTTTCCGGGTACAGTACTGAAATGATAAGCACCGCTGCATTCCGTACTTGCACCACGAACATTACGCGGCTAAATAGCGGTGGATTCAATGCCATTCCACAGTAGAGGACTAGACGATTTATGGAAAGGTGGATGAGATATGATGGGCTAGCGGACGCCTCTGGACTAATGGATGGATGAAATGAGAAAATGAAAGGAAGGGAATGGAAGGGAAAAACATAAACGGAAGAAAATAGAACGACAGAAAGAAAGGAAAGGGAAAAAGAAAGAGAAAGAAAAATAATAGTGGTGAATGTTAAAGCAAGCGAGTGATCGAGTGATAAGAAGTAAAAAAAGAAAAAAAAAAA